TAGTACGTTTCGTTTTCATATACAAATAATTTTTATCAATACAAGTACGTTTATCATATCTGATTTATTTTAAATAATACAGTAATAAAATTGACTAATACTAAAAGTACGAAATATTGAGTTACAAAAAAATCGTAAAATCTCAAATAAACAAAAAATACAAAATACGAGGGTTCAAACTAAAATTTATTCTTTAAAAAAATAAAAAAGGTATACGGTTTAACTTTTTGTTTCATATTTTACGTTTTAAAAATATTTTTGTAACTAAACAGATAAAACATTGAATATTATTAATTACAACCACGGTTAAAATATATTTTTCATAAGTTTAATACTTGAAATTATAATATATGGTTTTTAGATATTGGTTACTAAAATACATTGGTTACTAAAATTTTATAATTAAATATTTTTTTATATAAAATACAGTATTTGTATTTATTTTAAATAAAAAAAAATATACAATTATTTTTAAAATACAATAATTTTTTAATTTAAGAAATAAAATATTTTTAAAATACAATAATATTTTTTAATTTAAGAAATAAAATATATTTAATGGGACCTTTTAATTTAAATTTTTCAAAATTCAAAGTTCAAACAGACACCAGGGCTGGTGGTGGTTAAAATCAATTTATTACAAAGGTTGGGCGCAAAAGTTGGGCACGGTTTTCCCACACTCAATTTCTCAATTTCTCCTTTTTAAGAACAAACAAACCCCATCTCTGCTCATCACCATCTCCGCTCCTTCACTGCGCCGTAACCAGATCTCCCTCAATCCTCCAATTTACCGGTCGCAAATAATGGCGATACCAACTCAAAACACCGCCGTTCTTGTATTCGTCGTCGCAACGGGAGTATTGATGAGCAGTGCGTGGGCTCATTCGCCGGCGCCGGCGCCGGCGCCTGGAACAGAGACTGCAGCGGCGCCGACGGCGGACTGTTTAGCGAATCTGCTGAACATGTCGGATTGCGTGCCGTATGCGGAGGTAGGAAGCAATCTGACGAAGCCTGATAAAGCGTGCTGCCCGGAGCTGGCGGGGCTGGTGGAAGGAGCTCCGCAGTGCTTGTGTTATTTGTTTGATGGAAAGACTGCGCAGCAGTTCGGCATCAATGTCGATATGGATAGAGCTCTCAAGCTTCCTTCTGTCTGCAGCGTTGCTACTCCGCCGACTAGCTTGTGCTCACGTACTCTTCGATTCCCTATCTCTTCATTTTTCATCGTTTATCATTTTAGTTCTTTAACAAAAATCACGTTTCTCACTCATTCTAGCTCGCGATTCGGTATTCTTCGATTCTCTTCATTTTTCGTATACTTTCTTAAATTTTTTTTTTCTTATTTCTTGATTTAAAACACAAAAGAATCTTAAACTCCATAGTTCGTTTTCTTTTATTGAAATTTCATATTAAAAGTTAAATAGAGAAGTCAGAAGCCAGGCTTAGTTTATGTTAATGCACAGATCTTCACATAAATTTATGCTAATTATTATTTAATGTTTTTGTATTGGATAATAATTTTCAAATTCTAATTAACAATGTAGAGTAGAGTAGAGTAGATTCTTACTCAGCTACTGAATACTAATTTATTAGGAAATCATATGATTGTAGTTTCAGATTAAGACTATGTTCTAGATAAATCAATTTCACAAAAAATTGAAAAATCCATTAGTGAATTACTTATACTTATATATTTAATTTGATCCCAAAAAACAGATTTTAAAATAATTCACTTTTTTTTTAAAAATAGAATTAGTTTGTTTTCAACACTGATTTTAATTTGTTTCAAAATTAGAAATGAAATTAATGTGAGTATTTAGTTAGATCTACCGAGATTTGATTAGTGTACTATGTTTCAAAAGTTAATGCATACGTAACATACTGTATATTGTATGTTATCGTGTTTATTAATGGCATATCGTATTATAAATTAGGAATATATATTGTTCGATTCAAATAATATCCAGTTCCAGTACGATCTTTGATCCTTAAATTAGTAGACCAAAATATTCACTCCAAATTGTTCAGTCCTGATTGAAATTAATATAAAAAATATATAAATATATATATAAAATATAGGTTGTTTTATTCTTTTTAAAAAATTTGTTATTTGTTTATTTAATTAATTATATTATTTATATAATATTAAATATTTTAATAAAAAATAATAAGTTTAATCTATTCGATCTCTATCAATACCGAATTAAACGGTCTTCGGTCTTGAATTTATATTTTTTTCGAACTTAGTTCTAGTTTTGATTTTGTTCATTTCCATTTCGATTTAGATAGTTGCATACTCTTAATTTTGTATTTTTTTTATCTAATTTATAAAATATATTTATTTTATTTCAAAAATATCTTTTAGAAATCTATATATAACTTTATAAAGATGTGATATATAACATATTATAAAATATTAATACTATCCTATTATTACATATTTTATGAGTGAACTCATTAAATATTCATAACCTAAAAAAATGTAAAAAGTTCAGAAATTATTAAAGTAACGAACCTGATCCGCCGTTGTCTAATTATTGACTCCTATCTGTCCCACCTATATACACTTAATGCACGAAGTTCCCTTGCTCATTACTTCTTCTCTCCCTCCCCGCCCGGGACCCACAAGAATTCTTTCTGCATTCTTTTATTTTGGAATAACTTTTTTATTCTGATTTAATTTTTTAAAAAATTTAAATTTATTTTCCCAAAAGTTTTAAACTTTTATTAAAAATTATTTTTATTTACTAATATTTGTTCTACCCATCAGTTTTGGGCATCCCAGTTCCTTCTCCAGCTGCCGCTCCGGGCGCATCAAATACTCCAGGTACTTTTTTCACTATTGATTGTTTCATTTAATTAATATGAAACTATAATTTTCTTTTCCAAAATTTTATGAAATTTATTATTACACGAGTTCCAAATATCTTATTTTTTTAACCATTGATTTTGAATATTAAATAAATAATTTTTAATTTCTTATTTTTTATCTAATAAATTTATTGAATTAGATTTTTTATCTCGACTAAAAATTAATTATGTAATGTCCCATCTTGAATATGGAAGTGTTAATGTAACCTGTCATTCCATTTTAAGACAAATATTTATTATGCAACGAGTTCATATCATCTTATTCATCAAAATATAAAAATAATCTTTTTTTCGTAAACGCTTAAATCGTATATGATTAATCAGTATGAATTTATATCACAAAAATTCTAATCTCAATAGTGACAAAGTGTATATACTCGTGTATCAAGAGAGTATTCTATACTAATATTCACTCATTCATTGAGTGTGGTGCTCTATTGCTAGACATTTCGATTCAGACTTTTAGTTTAACATATCTGGAAACAAAAGTGATGAGCATAAATAGTCTAGTAGAAATGTAAACTTAACTAAGTAATGAAACAATAAATTCATATCCCGACATTCCTCAGTATAACTCTTTATACCCTACCATTTCTCTTGTCTTTTTTTACCCATACAACCCTTTATAGTGTAATAACCTTTTCCCCTCAATCCGTTCAACTAAACCTACTACCTACCCATACTTTCTATCCGATGCTAATATCAGACACCGAACATCCCTAACACACAATTTTGCCATCCACGGCCACCAAATAACCACCATCTCACAATCGAGAATACTAGAGCACATACACATCAGCCACTAAAGGACCACTCACACATACACTTCATTCCACCTACACCACATACTTAAGCCA